CGATCCTTGGGTGCCCCCTGGAGAGTTGGCAACCCCTCAGATTTAGGGCCGTTTGTGTTCCCTGGCCTCCCTTTGCCCCTGGTAATATGCAGAGCGGGGAGGACTATGTGATTAAGGCACACCAGGCTTTTTAAACTCAAAAAAGGAAGATTTATTTAACTATATACATATTGGGCACAGAAAATAAACACAGACACTTCAACACAACTGGGGCACAGAAAATAAACAGGATAAAAACGGAATTCCTCTGTCCCTACCCACACACCCTCTCTATCTCTGTAGTGGGTTGTGGCCTCAGGCCCGGATTTGCGTTTCCCCCTCCTGTTGTGGAGAGAAACTCCAGCCCTCCTCCACAGGACTGGCCACCAGCACTGCCACCCTCCTGGCTCTCCACCACGATCTATGGTGGCCTGGATTGCCCACGGAGTCTCTGGTGACAGGAGTCCCACCTGGACAGGACAGCCTGATCCCTCTCATCAGATCTCAGAAGCTAAGCAGGGCCGACTTGGAGGCAGGCAATAGCAGACCACGTCCGAACGTCTCTTGCCTTGAAAACCCAACAGGGTCGCCATAAGTCAGCTGTGACTTTACGGCCCAAAAAAAAAAAATTCCCTCACACCACTGGTGTTCTGAGCAGGGGCTTGGGAAGGCCTCGGTTCTCTATTTTGAAGCCCAAGAGCTGACCATCCCAAACATCTACAAGGCATTTTTGAGAGCTGGGAGTCTCCCTTTGTACTACCTTTTACTAAGTAATACTAGCCAAAGCATCACAAAATAGTGATTGCAAACTTCACCAGACTGGATGTTAAGAAACACACCGCCCCCCTAAGAAGGTGCCCCCACCCTCCATTGTTTTCAAAGGACAAAAGTAAAATAAGAGAATCTCTGCAGTAGAAACAGGAGGGGGAGCATTATTGCACCCCAGCAGAACCAATGCAATGTACAGCGTACCCAGCATAATATTAACAAAGGTTTGCCACTATGCTACTTTTAAATAAAACATGGATCCCTTGTGCTTCTGGCTCCCCTCCACCTCTGTCGTGTCTGGGACTGTTAAATGTTGTTTAATCTCCCTTTTCGCTCAACTTTATCTCTGCCTCATCCCACTAAAAAAACCTAAGGAGCCCCTTCCCATTCTTATGTGGACAAAGCTTCTGTGTCCCTTCTTCAACGCCCCCTCATTGTCTATGCTGTAGTTAGGGTTGCAACTAGAGGGAGACTCTCCACTGGGGGGAGGCTTCCCTGGCAGTGCTCTAGCATTCAGCCAAAACTCTATGGTTTAGCATAGAATCTTGACTGAATGCTAGAGTATCACCAGTGATGCACTGATGTCACTTTGTGCCGGAAGTGGCATTAGTGCATCGGGATGTTGACTATCGTACTCCCCATTTCGCTTTCATTTTTTTCTCCTGGTGTCCAGCTGAGCAGCTGTGGGAAGGACCATCCGGGGGCTGGAGGTCTCCCATCCCTAGTGGGAACCTGGCAACCCTGGCTATAGTGGGAATTTATAGAAGCAAGGTCTCATCTGGCAAGACACTGCCTGAAGGTCTGCAACAGGGAATTGCTTGTTTTGCAAATCTGACAAAGCAGAGAAGAGTGGGTAC